AGAGAGAGAGAGAGAGGAGGAGGACAAGGGGAAGCAAGAACGGGGAAGAGGAACGTAGAAAGCAAGGGAAGGGGAGGGGAGGGGAGGGCAAGCCTCGTCGATGGCTTTATAGTGAGTTCTGGAATAGCTTTTGGATCAAGGGAAGCAAGGGGAGATGGGCGGCCCCCCATCTCCATGGCTTTTCTGGCTGTGGTTGAGGTTGATGCGATGGCTTTTTAGCGTGGATTATCGTCGGCGTTCGGGAGAAGCTCACAGCTTTGGCTTTTGCTTCCTTTTGGTTTGCTGGATCTGCATCGACGGCCACAATGGATCACAAGCTTGTCTTCTTCTCTTTTCCTCGCCAAAGCCTGTCGGTTCCCTCTTCCAATTGGTTATCTCGTCCATCATGTTACCTTTACCTATTGCGCCCCCTTCGGACTCCCTCGTCGTCCAGTCGTAGTAGTTTTCGTCTCATCACGAGAGTTTATAGTTTTCGTCCCTTTACTTCGACAGCACCTCCTCCTTACCCCTTCATAAGGCCAAGTGGACCTCGTAAAAAACAAGAATTTTCAGAAATCTCATCTGTTATGCAATCAAGGAAATCTCTCTATTATCATACCCATCGAGCTCCTGTCAATGATACCAGATCGATGCAATAAAAATAGTTTGCGACTAGAGGCTTCGTGAGTGAGTTTGCTAGTTGATCAGCTGTATGGACATGAGAGACACGAAGTTGATGTCTGACAACGGAATACTGGATTGACACATAAGTAGGTAGCTCCTACATTGTCATAATATATTGTAGAAGTAAGGGTAGAGTTGACTTTGAGTTCCTTGAGGAGATTTGACTTTGAGTTCCTTGAGGAGATTTGTAACCCAATTGAGTTCAGTAGCAATGATAGCAATGACACGATATTTAGCTTCAGTTGAAGACCAGACAATTATCTTTTATTTCTTAGAACTCAAACTGATTGGATTAGACCCAAGAAAGATGACATATCCTAACATGGAGGTTCTATCATCAAAGTTTCTTGCCTATCCAACAAAGACATGTAGATGAAGTGGAGTGGTTTTACGTAGAAATAGATCATGATTAAGGATCTCTTTAAGATATCGCAAAATTTGTTTAAGCACAAACCAATGCATAGTAGAAGGTTAGTGCATGTATTGAAATAATTTATTGACTGCAAATGAGATATCTGAACGGGTGAGAGCCAAGTACCATAAGGAGCCAAGCTACCATCATATAATTTGAGTGATTCACTAGTAGAGAGAGGAGTAGCAACTTCTTTTGCATCCTGCATATTTATCTTTGATAATAAGTCTTGAATATACTTTCTCTGTGAGAGGAGGAGACATGAGGATGTAAATGTTACTTCCATTCCTAAAAAGTAACTCAAGGGTCCTAAATCTTTGAGGGAGAATCGATCAGCCAATTGTTTTAGAAATGTCTGAATCTTCAACGGATCATTGCCTATGACAATAATATCATCTACATATACTAGAAGATATATTGTATTTCCATGTTGTTGTCGTAGGAATAAAGAGGTATCAGACTTGGAGTTGATGAAGCTAGTTGATATCAGAAACGATCCAAGTTTAGTGTACCAAACTCTTGGAGCTTGACGGAGTCCATAAATGACTTTTTATAGTTTGCAGACAAGGTCCGGATACTGGTGATGAACGAAGCCAGGGGGTTGCTACATAAAGACATCTTCAGTTAGAGTCCATCGTAAAAAGACATTATTAACGTCCAGTTGTCATAAGTGCTAGTCTTTGGAGATGGCCAAACTTAAAACAAACCGAATTATTATGGGTTTAACTATGAGACTGAAGGTATCTGTGAAGTCAACGCCATATCGTTGATGAAACCCTTTGGCTACTAAACGTGCTTTATATCGAGCAACGGACCCGTCTGAGTTCCGCTTAATTCGAAAGACCCATTTACACCCGATGATGTTTTGTATAGGATGAAAATGTCCAAGAGTCCATGTGGAGCTATGGAGTAGAGCATCATATTCTTCACACATAACTTTATGCCAGTATAGAGATTTTTGAGTTTGAATAATTGTGGTAGGTTGATTGATCTCAAGAGAGGATTTGTTGATAGCATGTAGGTCGAGAACTTGACGTGGTTTAAAGATACTACTTTTTGAGCGTGTTGTCATTGGATGTTTAGGAGCTGTAGGTTGTGTTATTGGTATGGGTGGTGGAGAGGCATTGACATGGGTCAGGGCAGGTTGAGATACATCAGGGGGGACTAGGTAAAGAAGGTTGTTGTGTTTATAAGGATATTGTTTCAGTAGTAGGTAAGGCTTGTGAAGAAGGAAGAGGAGAAGTAATGAAGGGAGTGAGGAGCTATTGAACCGGGAAAATAGAAGAGTATCGATCTTTAAGAGAGGGATTAGATGGTGTGGTAAGAGATTCATTTGAGAGGATCGATGGTATACTCCAATGATATATATTTGGTGAAGTGGCTTGCATAGTAGAGGTTTTAAAATGGAAAGCAAGACTCCACAAAAATAACATGACGTGAAATAAAGACTTTTTGAGTTTTGGATTCGTAGCACCGAAAGATATTATGTTCAAGAGAATATCCTATGAAGATGTAATGCTTAGATCTTGATGTTATCTTGTGTGGGGCATAGGGACGTAACCATGGATAACATAAATAATCAAATATTCTGAGTTTTTGAAGGTTTGGGGATTTGAAAAATAATTTTTCAAATGGTGACTGGTATTGCAGAACTAGAATGAGTAGACGATTAATAAGGTGACGACAGTTTGAAAGGCTGTAGACCAAAAGGTTACTGGCATGGAGACTTGATGTAGAAGTGTGAGATCGGTTTCTACGATATATCGATGTTTGCGTTCCAACTAGTTGAGGAGTATGTGGGAATGACTTAAGATGTTGGATGCGGAGGATCTTGTCGGTCCACTCCTCGATGTGAAGCGCGATTTTGTTCAACACTATTGCTGGACAGCGAAGAAGAAGAAGAAAAGAAAAACAAATTTGCTTAACGCAAAAGCTCTTGTATCATGTTAGAATTAAACAAAGAAGATATAAAGATAAAAAGTATATTTGAATTAGTATCATATGACGAGTGAGGTGGCAATTCCTCGTAAAAGCACAGCCTCGCCGACGAAGTCCAAAAAGTCGGGCCAGGAGGGGGCGACTCCGCGGCGGCCAACGAGGAGCTCGTCCCCTTAGTGGCGCCGTGCTCTTTCTGCACGTGCCGGGAAAGCACCCACGTGGCGGTACAGGATCAGCCGCGCTGGACCCCATCCCTTTTGTTCTGCATCTTGTGCTCTCCCACCTTTTCCTTTTCGTCAATCCAACCCACCATCGGTGGGTGCTTTGCCCTTCGAAGGTTTAGTCTCTCTCCACCACCACCACCTCAATATATCTCACTATATTATTATTTTATTTATTATTAGTATTTAATTTTGAGCAAATTCTTTAAAAAAATTATAAGCTTTCACTTTTTTTTATTATAAAATATTTTTAAATTAGTCGTTGCTTTTGCTCGATCATCTCGTTGTGGTTGTCTTTGGCCCCATGAGCATAAGTCTAGGTAGAACCTCGATAGGGTAAAGCTAATCATGGAACACGATGATAATAATAAACAAAGGTAAAAATAAACTTACGGACAATGGATGAGAGTGAGAATAAATATGACGAACGAATAAACGACAATAGCGATAGACGATGATGGAGATCGAAGATAATATTATCTTTTAGAAAATAAAGAACGAATGGTTGAAATAAAAAAATGCTATGAAGAAAAAAAAATAAAATTTTTATTTTATTTGAGAAACTTACCCTTTAATTTTTATAGTACAAAACAAGAAAGACAATGGAGGCGGTGTTGGGATCGATCCATGAATGCCTGCCTGAGGGCGATGGATGGCGTCGGCAGGCGGCAAAGCAGAGTTCTTTGATTCATCACTGTGCCAAACTAGGACGAAGGAAGCTTGGAATCATTGTGACCGAAAGGTTTGCCCACTTCATCTTCCACTTTTACAAAGATCAACAATTAACTCCGAGTAGACTCCCATCATCTGCCGCATGGGTTTCGGGGCAAAGGATTGTTAATTCATGCTTGTGTTGCCAAACGAGAGATCATGTGATTTATGTAGATCAGACAAACTCAGCTAAAGGAACAACAGCAGGATTTACCAACATCAACATGTTTTACAACATACGACACAGACGACTGTTGTATGACAATGGCGAGAGAGAGAGAGAGAGAGAGAGAGAGAGTTAGAGAGAGAGAGAGAGAGAGTTAGAGTTGCTACAACTGAACTGAAGCTTCATCAGTCCATGAAGTGATCTACATACAACAAGCAACAGAGATGGCAGACCTAACTAACGCTCCTCCAACTGTTACCACAATTCACAGTTCAACAGTCTTCCCTTCTTGTTAAAGAACCATCTCTGCAGACGAAAAGCTTGATGAGGTATATATAGTATCATATTTGAAGTGAGTAGGATGAGGTATATATAGTATCGTATTTGAGGCCGTGCCGGCTACAAACACAACCTTATTGCCTGGCTTTCACCATCTTCACTGGCCGTCACTGACTGCTGCACTTCACTCTCTACTGCACACCTGTTGTAAGGCACAAATCCCCTTCCGGAGCCCCCGCTCCCCCTTCGGGAAGCCGGGATACTGCTCGGCTTTAGACTCGTGCAAGGCATTGAATCACTCTCTGCCACATTTTCTGCTTTATTTGAGTTCACCACAACAGCATTTGGATCGGTTAGTCCTGCTCCGCTGGTCGATGCAGTGTTAGAACCAGTCCAAGAACCCTCCCTCTGCATGTCTTCATTGCCTGCGGCTTCCATCCCGAATTGCAGAGGATACTGTGGTTGCAGATCGATATACGAGAAAGGCAAGTTGCCATAAATGGACCACCATGGTGGAGAAAGAAACGTAGGCTCTACAGAGTGGCCTCCGACTAACGGAAAGCGATACAACAAGGGGGGTGGCTGACCAGGGTAAGCATCGCATGTGCTTCTGATCAAGTCCCCAGTAAAAACTCCATGTCTTGCTCTTTGCAACCACATTTCAGCCTTGGAATGCAAATTAAGAGCTTTGTTCTCTTGGAGATCTTTGATGTCAACGGATGAGGTTGGCTGGGGCTGTGTGATGTTAGCAGCACCAGAAGCAGATGAAACGTTTGAATCAGTCACGACTACCATCTTTCCAAACAGCTTGAGAGTTGGTAATGGCGCTTCGGATGAGGTGTATGCATTAGGGCAGTGGTCTATCACCTGAAGCATTTTTAAATAGGCCAGTCAGAAAAATAAGTTTTGCGATCACTCCGACAGGTTTTGATGCTTATTTGAAAGATTACCTCTGGAAGCTGGTCTTGCCTAGCCGAAGCAGGAACTGCAGGGTCAAAACCTCGAAGCTTATGCTCTTCTTGAACCATCATAATAGGTGACTGTCCTCGATCATCTTGATCATTTGAACCAGCAGCAGATGAAACCGGAGATGAGCAACCATTTTGGCCAATTGAGAACACGGAACCCATGGTTTCCGATCCAACAGCCGATAGAACTGATGTAGGCGATCTGTTGTCCTGCTCACAGATTATAGGACTCTGCAAACGAGGCCTCTCAAGTTGTTTCAGAGCAGGAATCTCCTTGTTGGATGAGTGAGACAATTTACGCGGATACGGGTGCACTGGTTTCCTCTTTGGCCGAGGGGGAGGAATCTCGATGCCCTTCGACGTGCCTGTGTTGTCATTGCTGCCAGACTCGCGAACCACCTAAGTGGATGAGAAAGAGAAATATTGAGCTGGAAAGAAAAGCTTTCGGTGCTCATCTCCATGAATGACTGACTTTATCAGTCGAGCAAGACCACCCATGGGCACCACATTATGACAGACAAATAGTTACTGAAGCAGCAATTAACCTTAGAAAAGAACTTCTGGGCATGACTCCTGATCTGAACTGCTGTCTTTGTACCTATATGTTCTGCAAATTAAATTCCCAAGTGTGAATGCAGATACAGGCTAAGAATGTCCGAACTGAAAACAAGAAGAAAAAAGAAAGAATCATAATAACCTTCTATACGGCGCCAAGCACGCCCGTACTGCTGCAAAGCTTCAAGAAACTTGTTGTGTTCTTCCTCCGTCCACCTCTCTCGCTGCTTTGTTATTGTATAAGGTTTCCTGACCTAATTAACAAAACCCAGAAGAAATTTCATTAGGAAACAACCAAGTCGAAGCTCGAAGAGAACAATTGACGATAGAAGATACCCTGGGAGCCTGTTCCGTCACAGGTGAATCAATCTCCTTCGAGCGAGGAATACTCATCGATGATGTTTTCGCATCCACATCCATTTGATTGTAGGAATCACAAACAGGTTTCGGACTCGTGACTTCGTGTAGCTCCTGGTTATACAAATCCCAATTCAGCAACTAACTTGAGATAGATATGTTTCTTGGCCATGTATATATATAGCATCTAATAGTGTGTGATGGATCTAAGAACACTAACATGACCAGCTAGGAAAATTCCTACTTTTAACCAGTATCCTCACATTCAGATGGCGAGAATAAGATGCCTATCAATGAAAAGAAATAAAGCAAACATTCTTTCCTTCAAATCTCATATTATTCTATAACCTCTTGATTGCAAATCCTTATGGGTAAATCTTCCCCCACATACAGAGAGGTGAGTTCAGAAGTTCAAGGGGGCAAAAAAAAAAACAACCAGTTTTTTGGGACACGAGTCCATCAAATCCACAGGCATTTGGACACAGCCCTAATCGATCAAAACAATCCTTCACCACAAACCCTCAATCACACGAGCATCGAGCTTCAAAACAGCAAAATGAAATGGGAAGCACGACAAATCAAACCGCACCCAACCCCACACAAGAACAATTTTTTGCCTCCCGAACTTTTTCCAAAACTCCCAAAACAAAGCAGCGAACCCAAAAAGGTAAGAAATATTCGTCTACCTGACTCTCCATCCCCGCAAGAACTGCTCTCATCCAAAGCTTCCGCCGCCGATCTCCTTCGATATCTGACGGAATCTTCAAGAAGTCGAACACGTCATGATTCACCAAACAATCCTTCTTTCAAGATACCGGTCCTGATCAAGAGGAAAAGGAGGAAGAAGAAGAGGAAAAGAGAAAGAGGGGGAGACGGGACTAAGAATGGAAGCCACGGTCGGAGGAAGAATGCAAACACGCAGGCAAAAGGAGAGGAGGTGATGCCACGTAGGACGGGGAGATTTTTTTGCCCTTTAAAAAAAATTCACACAGGGGATGGTTCCAGAAGCTGCTCTATACATGTGGCCAGGAGCCGCTTACACGTGGCGCTCCCTCAATTTAATCCCCACCTCTGGTTGTGACCTCACGTTGTGAGGTTAAAAAGGCCAGATAAAAAACATGTGATATAATATTAATAATGATGGTGAGTAATTAGTATTAATAATTATTTTATTTATTATTTTTAAAAACCTAAATTAAGATTAGAGTTTACGCTTTTGGAATATATATTCTAATATTTGAAGGAATATGTATAATATCAAAATTTTTTAATGGATAAATACTATTATTTATATACTTTGACATCTGAAAACTTGAAGGATCAGGTTCGAGGATGCCTGTAACATGAAGCGTGCACTTCACCTTGACTTAAGACACGTGGTACTCCTCGGCCGTTTGTCCGATCATCCGAAGACACGTGTCCCACCGATTCGGGATGGAAGCGGAAGGCTGTGGATAATGGCTGCAAAAGATCCCAACCCACATTGACGCGTCTCCACCACTGGAAAAAGTAGGGGTATAAGATTTGGAGAGACGAGGACAGCAGCAGCCCAGAGTGCAAGGCATCATGATGGCCGCTTGATGAGGATCTGATGGCAAGTAAACCACCACGTCGGTACATAGATGCTGCATTAACCGTAATGTTCGTCACAGAACCGCTCTCTCTTTCTTATATCATAAAGACCTTAAAACTAATATTGGCCACTTATTGGAACATACGTGATTACAGATATAATAATCGGTATGATCGGCAATATGGCTTTACAAGCAACTACAATTCCTCGTGATCAAGCAATTTAGTAGATCTCACAAGTTTAGAATTGCCATTCTTCACGATACTCTCGACTGATCCATTTTTTTCTTGCTGATAATGGATTGTGTCCCATCTATGAGCATAATTGCAATGTAGCGCAACCCATGTGACTGTGTCGGAGACTAGCATTACATGTCAAAAGTCTTTTAAGTAAGACTCCAGATTGATACTAGCCTTCTTCTTTCCTTGTCTTACAACTTTTTCGTTTTTGAAAGGCCAGTCAACCAAAATTAGAATTGCAATCCAAAGCATTTAGACATCAGTCATTCGCTATGCTCGCCAAACTTTCATTCATGTAATCATACCAAGTTTTCCTACTGAGCCTATAATTCCTGTATATTTCAAGCAGTTGCAGGGGAATACTACTCCAGAAAGAGAGTGAATTCTTTTACCATGGCAAAGCCAGCATTCGGCAGCTGCTTTCTGATATCTACAAGGAAAAGAAATCCACTGGCTCACCACCATTAAACAGACTTGGGGCAACCAAACGAGAGGGGACAGGAGAGCCAAAATGCTACTCGTCAGTGTATTCTCTCTCCCTACAAACAAGGAAGGATTTGAGAGGGGCCAAAAAAGCTGTGCCCCGGTCAAGAATCTTGAGAGCAATCCACATTCACTCTGTTTTTGTTTGGCAGGTCAGACAATGGCAGCTGAATGATGCTCATGTGTTGGAGACCAGCATATTGTGGATGAGAAGAACAGCCCCACCCCAGTGTGACTCTACCAGAACTTTTCTTGCCTATATCCAACTGCATGTGCTCGTTCTGCTCCTCTTGAGATCTACTCCAGCTTGGTGGGTAAGATGAGAAACCCTGTCCCTGAAGATTTATTTGCCTTCTCTGGGAAGATTACATCAGGTACAAAGGAAAGATGATGGCTCTTCACTGTCCCCCGACAATTTTTTCTGTTACATTAGTGGATACGTTTTTGGAAGTATGCACCCATTCAAGTGCACCAAGGAACCTTTGGATGATAAACTCTCTCTTGTGATTAGAGTGATAATATGGGATCCACTTAAATGTAAAATCTAAGGAAAATTCCCAACAAGGACAGGAGAAAGACCAAGTGCTGACAACCGATATAGCGCTGTGGAGACTTCGAACACAGGCGCAATGCAGTCTTGTATGTTGGTTTTCCATCAGGGGGCCTGGCACATGCAATAGATCATCCATCACACATGCAATGTACAAGAAGTCACATAAACAAAGTAAACAAAGGACATATCATAAATGGTATTAGTGCTTCGTGTTATGAAGCAGTTAAATTTGTTCATGTATGCTGAGCCGATTCAACCTTTTTGCTGAAGTAAATAAGTTAACGTACCAAAAGATTACCAAAATGATTATGACCGAGGCAGCCATCAGGCCGAGGTAGCTGAATGAAGAGGAACTGAGGTGATCCAATCCAAGATGGCCGTGACCAAGGTGTTCTGAAGAGAAATTAAGATGTGCTCCAGGAGTTAAGATGTGTTCTAGGATGAGACCTGCACAACAGAATGGAAACAAGGGATATGTCAGGATCCTATGACATTATGTCAGAGGATATTTTGAAGTAGAAAATGGTTTGCGATGTAAAGAGCACAAAGCCAATATTGTAAGAGGGAGAACTCACATTCTCTTTGCTTGAATCTCACTGTATTGTTATGAATATTTATCAATACCATTATTGCTATATTGGAGTTTGATGGATGACATAATCGATAATTAGGCATCAGGTCAATTAGAGCATAACAAACTTTGTTATGTAATATACATATCAAAATATGTACACAATTGTATACATGCATTAATATATGTATGCTCATTCCTAGTGAAGAGTTGACTATTATACAGAACAGGACCCAATGGCACTTGTTAGTTGCTACATACATACAACATGACAGTTTCTTTGTTATCCAATATACAGAGCAAAGCTTTGAACATCAATCAACATTTCGATCCAATGAAATGCAATTTCTTGGTTAAGAATAAGCAGCATGTTAATTCATCTAGCTGTCCAAAGAATATACCTCCATTCAGAGTTACAAATTTCATAGAACCAGTCTTCCCAGCTAAACTCATGAACAAAATTGCTGAGAATTCTCTGAACTTATGAACTGAGATTGATATTGCCACATAGCTCATATTGAGAATAAGATCATCTGCCATCTGTACGTAAGCTGAATTGTTGAAACTTGGTTTTAAGTTCTAATGCCAAATCTCCCCTCGATATTTTATGGAGATCCTTCATCACCCTCATATAAACAGGAAAATTGGGTTTTAAGCCCTCACCCATCATCTCATAAAGAATTCTGCCTGCCTCTTCTATCCTTCCCGACACACAGTAAAGTTTGGCAAGTAAGCTAAAATTCATATTGACCGAACATTTATCTTTCATGCTCATATCCACCACATACTGGTAAGCGTCTTCCGCGTGCCCTGACCAGAAGTATCCTTTTATGAATGCCGCATGTGTTGCTAGGCTTGGCTTAGACCCTTCAGACAACATCTGATCGACGAACTTGACGGCAAAACTCATCCTGTTAGCCTTACACGCATGAACCAGAATGACCTCAAAAGTTACCGAATCCGGAACGTATCCCAAGTCTTCCATTGCTTGGAGCAACTCGCATGCTTCAACAACTCTCTTGTTCTTAAAGAGGCTCCCAAGCAAATAATTGTAAGATTTCGTGTTCGGGTCACAACCAAACCTTCGCATTTTGTCGAACACATCACGTGCACCTTGAAAGTCAAGGTTCCTGCACTTTGCAGCGATAAGCACATTGTAATATGAAGTCCTCCTCGCCGTCTCCTCCATCACCGAGATAGCAAGATCAAAGGCATTCATAGAGCAAAGCAATTTGATCAACGAAAAGATTCCCGATCCTCGGCAAGATCCGCCGACTCTACTTAGCAACTCAACGAGTTCTCTGACAGAATCCTTGATCACATCAGCGCCGCGAGCCGCAAGAAAAGAGAAGGCCTTTCCTGTTAAGCAATGCCCCTTCGAGGATATCTCATCGAACACGCGATGCATGGTGCTATAATCGTCGAAGAGGCCGAGGTTCAATACAATCAGATTGTAGGCTTCAGAATTAGGCCTGAAATCGGGGTAAGAACCCAAAACCCAGCCGAAGAACCGCAATGCCGAGACGCCACGATCGTTCAACGCGCGAAGAGTCTCCGAAACAAGGGCATGCGAAGGGCTCAGATTCAGGAGGCGCAACTTCGACTCCAGATCATCTGAGTCTCCGCTGATCAATGCAACGATCTCAGAGACCACACATGGATCGACACGACGAAGGCGAGGCGTTGGGCTCATTCTGCTCGTGTGGGGACCCCGTGGCACCTGAGAAGAGGAGGAGAGCGATCTGCGGGAAGGAAGGGTGGCGCGGATGAAGCCGCTTAGAAGAGATCGACTAGAGCAAGAAGAGGATTGGGAGGAAGAAGAAAGGGGGCAGAAGCGGTCGGGATGGGGTTTAGGGGCTCGAAACGAGATTAGGGTTCTTCGAAGCGAGCCGATTCGAAGCCCCGGAGGCATTGGAACGGACATGCTTGGCGAAGGTCGTTGCCCAATGGTTATAGAAGCCCGTTATTATCATCTGTAGCGCGCGCTCCGAAACCGTTATGATCTTTAATAATGATTGTAACGTATCGTTTTAAGACACTGATATTATTCCGTGGTCTAAAGTCATAGTCAAACGCAGAGGAAGCGATACATTGACTTTGTGCTGTAGCAACTGACAGTGTTGCAGCGAGCAGAGCCTTTGTGATCACGTTTAGCGACGACTTTGTGCATCGTTGTCCATCAGCTGCTTTCTCGTTGGTGCAGCCCATACGTGGGCTTGGACAAATGGGACCGTTTGACCGTTGAGTTCAAATCAAAGAAATTAAAGAAATAAAAGAGAAAGGACAAATTGAAGAAGAAAAAGATTAGAGCGCAGTGAATGTGCGGCGGCGTGCAGAGAAATAGGGGAAAGAGAAATAGAAAGAGAAAGATTAGGCTTATGAGTTTTTTTTGCTTAACGATCGGTGTGAAACGTTATCAGTTTCGGCTCAAATTTTATGTGGAAAATTCTTGCAGCAAACTCTACAATCCTAACGGTGTTGATCTGCAGTTTACCCTCTCTATGGTACTTTTCTGTGATATTTACTTTATGAGATCTAGAATTCTCTTTCGAGGAGATCAATCATGATGATATGCTAGAGCCAAGATCTATATTCTTAATGTTATTCTGATCCTCTAGTTATTCTAGAGAAGACTTACTGTAAATATGTTATCATTATTATTGATAGTGGAAGTTTGAGGTGGACTACGGCAGTCAAATGGTATGATTAAATTGAACTCATCAAATTATTCCACTTGAAGGCGTCTGATGGAAGATTTGCTATATTACAAAGATTTATATAAACCTATCAAGGTTAAAGATAAACCTTCTACTATGGACGATGAAGAATGAGAAGTTTAACATAAAAAAGCCATTGCCTATATTAGAAGATGGATGGATATAAACTTGCATGAGCATATTTCAGATGAAACCAGAGCTGATGTTGTTTGACAAAGGTTAGAAAATCTCTTTGTGAAAAAGACAGTGGAAAATAGAATTTCTCTCCTCAGAAGGCTTATAAATTTGAAGTATAAAGATGGTGGTAACATTGTTAAGCATATAAGCCTATTTCAGAGTCTTGCAAACAAGTTGGTTGCTATGAAAATGAATATAAATGATGAGATGCAGGGATTATTACTTCTCAACTCTTTACCAGAAAGTTGAGAAACATATGTGGTGACAATTTGTAACTCCATGCCAAAGGGGACTCTAACTATAGATATGGTTAAAGATAATTTGCTAAATGAAGATGCCAGAAGGAAAGAACAGGGTGAATCTTCTTCTGAGGCATTTATTACTGAAAAACAAGAAAGACGTGGAAGAAGTCATAACATAAATCCACATGATTATAGTGAAAGATCCAAGTCTAGAAGAGATATTAAATGTTTTCACTGTAACAGACCAGGTCACATGAAGAAAGAGTGTAGGTTTTGGAAGCGAGAACAGAATGAAATGAAGAAAAATAAAAAAGAGACCAATATAGTTGCTGCTGAAGGTAATATCACTATTATCTGTGATGAAGGTTGTGTCAGTCTTGTAGCTCAGGACAGTAACTGAGTAATTGACTCTGGTGCTTCATTTCATGTTACTTCTCATGGTGATTTCTTTAGATCTTACACTGTTGGTGATTTTGGTAATGTCAGAATGGAAAACAGTGATACATCTAAGATTGTGGGTATTGGAGATATTTGCTTGGAGACCAGTATTGGGGGCAAATTGATACTCAAAGATGTAAGACATGTTCTAGATATTCGTCTTAACTTGATATCTACAGGTAAACTTGATGATGAGGGCTTTGCATACTATTTTGGTGAAAGCAAATGGAAACTCACTAAAGGTTCTCTAATTATGACAAGAGGAAAGAAACTTAACTCTTTTTATGTCATGGAAGCTAAGCTACACAAAGGAGAGATTAATGCAATTTAAAAAGGTGAAAGTATAGATCTTTGGCATAAGAGGCTTGGACATATCAGCGAGAAGGGACTTTAAACTCTTGCTAGAAAGCAGTTCTTACTAGAGTTGCAAGGTATATCTCTTAAATCTTATGATCATTGTTTAGCTGGAAAAATACATAGAGTTGCATTTCAGACATATCCATCATATAGAAGATCAGATGTTATTGATCTAGTTCATACTGATGTCTGTACTATGCAAATTAGAACTCTTGGAGGTGCTCTTTATTTTGTTACTTTTATTGATGACCATTCTATAAAAGTGTGGGCTTTTGCTTTGAAATCTAAAGATCAGGTACTCGATGTTTTGAAGGAGTTTTATGTCAGTGTTGAAAGAGAAACTGGCAGAAAATTAAAGTGTATTCGATTAGATAATGGTGACGAGTACAAGGGTCCTTTTGAGAATTATTGTAGGTTCCATGGTATTAGGCTTAAGAAAACAGTTCCTAAAACTCCTCAACAGAACGGTATGATAGAAAGGATGAACAAAACTATTGAAGAAAGGATTAGGTGTATGCTTTCCCACGCCAAGTTACCAAAGTCATTTTGGGGGGACGCTATGAGAACTACAGTTGATCTGATAAATCTTTCTCCAGCGGTTCCTCTGAAAGATGATGCTCCAAAGAGAGTATGGAGAGGAAAAGATATATCTTATAATCACTTAAGAGTCTTTGGGTGTAAAGCATTTGTTCATATTCCCAAAGATGAGATCCCAAAGATGAGAGGTCCAAGCTTGATAGTAAAGCAAAGGCATGTATCTTCTTGGGATATGGTCATGAAGAGTTTGGGTACAGATTATAGGATCCAATGAACAAGAAGATTATTAGAAGCAGAGATGTTATATTTCTTGAAGACCAATTGTTTGATGATGGTGATAATATTGAGAAGCCAGAAACCTCTGTATATATTCCTTGGAGTTTGGGTCCAGTTCCTTCACTTGTAGTTCATGATGATCATGGGGGAGATGAACAAGAAGATATTGGTGAGAATACCAATGATGATATACCTCCACCATCAGTTGAGATTTCATTGAGAAGATCCACTAGAGAGCGATAACCATCTACCAGATATCATCCACATGAGTATGTTATGCTTACTAACGGGGGAGAGCCAAAAACTTACCAAGAAGCTATTCTACATGAGAATAAGAATGAGTGGGTTGAAGCCATGCAAGAAGAGATGAGATTATTGCTTGAGAACCACACCTATGACTTGATAAAGTTGCCTAAAGAGAAGAAAGCTCTTAAGAATAAGTGGGTTTATAAATTGAAGACTGAAAATAATAGCTCACAACAAAGATACAAGGCACGACTAATTGTGAAAGGATTCAGTCAGAAGAAAGGTATTGACTTTGAAGAAATATTTTCTCCAATTGTGAAAATGTCTTCTATCCGAGTTGTTCTTGGTTTGGCTGCCCGCTTGAATTTAGAAGTTGAACAACTTGATATAAAAACAGCATTTCTTCATGATGACTTAGAAGAAGAAATTTATATGGAGCAACCAGAAGGTTTCAAAGTCAAGGGAAAAGAAAATATGGTGTGTAAGCTTAAGAAAAGCTTATATGGGCTCGAACAAGCACCTAGACAATGGTATAAAAAGTTTAATTCCTTTATGATGAGCCAAGGGTATGATAAAACCACATCTGATCATTGTGTGTTTATAAATAAATTTTCAGATGATGATTTTATTATTTTACTGCTATATGTTGATGATATGCTGATTGTTGACCATGATGTTGAAAAATTTGGAAAGCTTAAAAGAGAGCTAAGTAAGTCTTTTGCCATGAAAGACTTGGGATCGATGAAACAAATACTTGGCATGAAGATTCTTCGTGATAGGAAGAAAATGAAGATTTTGCTATCTCATGAGACTTATATTGAAAAGGTTTTTGAAAGATTCAATATGAATAAAGCCAAAGCAGTTTATTCTCCATTTGTAGGTCATTTCATGTTTAGTTCGAAACAATGTCCTACAAGTGAGAAAGAAAAAGAAGAAATATCCAAAGTGCCTTACTCATCTGCAGTAGGAAGTTTGATATATGCTATGGTTTGTACTAGGCCAGATATAGCTCATGTAGTTGGAGTTGTTAGCCGATTTCTCTCTAAACCTGGAAAGGAACATTGGGCAGTAGTGAAATAGATATTAAGATATCTAAGAGGTACTTCCAAGTTATGTTTATGTTTTGGCAGTGATGAACCTGTGTTAGAAGGTTATACAGATGCAGACATACAAGTGATACTGATTCCAAGAAGTCCACTTCGGGATTCTTGATGTTATTCTGATCCTCTAGTTATTCTAGAGAAGACTTATTGTAAACCTGTTATCATTATTATTGATAGTGAAAATTTGAGGTGGACTACGGTCTCATGGTTTTTCCCACATTGAGTTTTCCAAGATTTGATCTCACTGTGTGATTGATTATTTGTTATTGTTTATACTGTGCTGTGGTATTTTGATGAAGAACCCATTTTGATCCATAAAAAGGAAAAAAAAATATTCCGCTTTTAACATGTTTTTTCCCAACATTTCTTTGACTCGTGCTTCTCCCATGCCGTCCATGGCATCTCCGATAATAGAGCTCCGTTGACTTGTTTACCACCTCTGGAGCTGAGAGTCTCATATTAATGTCCACAGAAGCAGGGGAGATGACAACTTAGGGTGTGAGATCATGGAGTGGGAGAACAAGCAGGAGAAGACCATCCACCACATCACCCATCTCCACCCCTTGAAGCTCACCGATCTGCGCGGAGACGAAGCGAAGCCCGTCTGCCACGCGTGCCGCCATCCTTCCGCCGCCTCGGCCTACCGGTGCGAGCGGTGCCGCTACGTTCTCGACCCGACCTGCGCTCGGCTGCCGCAAGTCCTCCGCCACCCCACCCCGCCCATCCCTCCCACCCGCTCACCCTCCATCTCTCGCCGGCGTACTCCACCGGTGCCTTCCTTTGCAACGCGTGCAGCCAGAACGGAGCCGCCTTCTGCTTCCACTGCGCTCGCTGTCAGTTCGACCGACACCTCCCCTGCGACGGTCTCGCTGAGAAGCTGAGCCGCCCGTCCCATCCCCACCCGGTGACGCTGGTCCACCAGGATCCCACCAGTGGGCGGGGCTACTTGTGCGACCTGTGCCGAGGCGCTTTCGACGCCTCGTCTCAGTGGCTTTACAGCTGCAGGGCTTGCGATTTCGGCGGCCACATCAGCTGCTTCGTGTCGGGGACGAAGCCCGCGGAACAGGCCACCGCTGCCCAACGACAGATCGATCCGGCGGCGGCGCTGTCCGGGATGCAGCAGAAGCTGATGGCTCAGATGTTCATGGCAGACACGATGGCGCAGACGGGGAGGAACGCGGTGGCGTTGACGGGAGGACCTCGAGAGTACGTTTACTATAATTCGGCGCCGCTACCGAGCCAGTACGCTGGCATGGCCGATTCAATGGTGATGAACAATCTGGCATTGTTATCTCTGAACGATCAGAAGACTGGTGGTGGTGGTGGTGGTCCGGCTGGTGGAGATGTGGCAAGTTCTGCTGGGAATACATCCACTCTGTCATAGGAGTCACGCCGGAGAGAAGAGAGTTCGCCTCCTGTGTCCCGTTGATGCTATGTAGTAGTTAAACATCAAGAACTCATTGACGGCCTTGTTTAGGCGTGCCAAATCTATCGAAATAAAAGGTTTTCCAGTTAGATATTGATGTTCGAGTGATAGATTGTTGAGTTGGCCAGCAAGATCCGGAAATCCATTGCACTGAAGCTGAGAGAGTCCTAGATGAGTTCCACCGATTGTTGCAGACTTGCTCAGACAGATGCAGCATCTGGAGAGGATTAACGTACCTAATCCTATCTTTATAAGTAGAAAGCTGTGATTTTGGGATATCCTCGAGGAATCCAGATGTGTGGTTTGCTTGATTACTTGGGTCGATGCAAGCAACAGGTCTTCAACCACACATATATACTATCTCACTAGTTTCTATGATCCACTCCAAATGTACGCCCACCACTTCATTCCCATCACCAATCTCCACCAACCATTTAAATCTCCCTATCCTCCCCCCCCACCCTTTTCTTCTCCTCTTACCCACCTCCCTTTCACCTAAAGCTCTGCTGCTGCTTCCACAGAAAACTTGGGCAATGGCCTCTGCTGCAGTGACTGCTGCAGTCGGCTCCCTTCCTTCCTCCAAGTCCTCATCCCTCAGCAAGACCCCGTCCATCTCTCCTGCTACTCTCGAGAGGACCAGCTTCCACAAGGTGAGGCCGTGTTGTTGAATCCCTTGTCCCTGGTTGCATGAGTCGTATCTTTGATGATGAACTCCGGCAGGCATGCTTGTACTCGAGAAGCGTCTCCACAGCCAATGCCAGGAAGAAGCTGGTCGCCGTTCGAGCCCAGGTAACCACCGAAGCTCCTGCCAAGGTAGCGAAGGTCTCCAAGAAGAACGACGAGGGTGTCGTCACCAACAAGTACAAGCCCAAGGAGCCCTACGTCGGGACATGCCTCCTCAACACCAAGATCACCGGCGACGACGCGCCCGGCGAGACATGGCACATGGTCTTCAGCACAGAGGGTAAAGTTGCTCTCAGAAACAAGAAGCTGACTTCCGTCCTTGGATCCGTCGGCCTCAGAAATCAGGTGTAATTTGATCGTGTGCACGTCCGCAGGAGAGGTTCCCTACAGAGAGGGGCAATCGATCGGTGTGATCGCCGACGGCATCGACAAGAACGGGAAGCCACACAAGCTGAGACTCTACTCCATCGCCAGCAGTGCTCTCGGTGACTTCGGTGACGCCAAGACCGTAAGTTCCAACGGCTGCAGCTCTCTCTGCACTCGATCTACATGCTTATCAGTTGCCACACCTCTTCTTTCTGTAGGTTTCTCTGTGTGTGAAGAGGCTGGTTTACACCAACGAGCAAGGGGAGGTCGTGAAAGGAGTCTGCTCAAATTTCCTGTGTAAGAAATCTGACATCCATTAGAACAGGGTTGCAAGCTTTGATCCTCCAAATGTGATGGTCGCTCGCATGTCCGTCAGGTGACCTGAAGCCTGGCGCGGAAGTGAAGATAACAGGACCGGTAGGAAAAGAGATGCTGATGCCCAAAGATCCCAATGCAACCGTCATCATGGTAACACGGCATTGACCGGTGCTTCGTAACTTTGGCTTCGCCTTTGACCCCCGGACAATGTACATTGCAGCTCGGCACCGGAACTGGAATCGCTCCTTTCCGCTCGTTCCTGTGGAAGATGTTCTTCGAGAAGCACGATGACTACGAGGTAAGTTGGGTGACTGCTGATGATTTGAAAGCAGTTTGCAAGGTCGGGTTGATGACCGAAACTAAATTGCAGTTCAATGGACTCGCATGGCTGTTCTTGGGAGTTCCCACGAGTAGCTCGCTGCTCTACAAGGAGGTCAGCTTGTAGTAACTCCAGTTCCCTGTGATTCCATGTATCACTACTGCTTGACGACTAGGTTTGTGTGTCTGCAATGTGGGCGTACAGGAGTTCGAGAAGATGAAGGAGAGAGCACCGGACAATTTCCGGGTGGATTACGCTGTCAGCAGAGAGCAGGCGAACGAGAAGGGAGAGAAGATGTACATCCAGACTCGCATGGCGGAGTATGCAGGTGAACTGTGGGAGCTGCTCAAGAAGGACAACACCTTCGTCTACATGTGTGGGTTGAAAGGGATGGAGAAGGGTATCGATGATATCATGGTCTCTTTGGCTGCTAACGACGGTAAGGCACAGGGCATGTCGTCGAACGTTCGTTCCACTTGAGACTCCACCTGACAAGCATCCACTAAAATCTGTGTCACAAATTTGCAGGCATCGACTGGTTATCTTACAAAAGGGAACTGAAGAGAGCAGAACAGTGGAATGTGGAAGTCTACTGATATGTATCTCTCTTTTCCCAAAGATTACTTGCTTCAATAGGATCTTCTGCAGCAGATATGTTGTACATAATCTATTCGAGTTCTGCATACTTTTTCTTCTATGACTGCTATACCATATTTGAGTTTTAGCATATATAGATAGTTATCACCAATCCTAACCCCACGTTCATGTCTGCCTCTAAGCAAGTGTATCCCACTCCAAAGAACTACTAACTAGCATGCAAATCTTTGAGCTGTAATAAAAATTAGCATGTAGCAGCAGTATGGCAAATTGTATCCCACCCTAAAGATTAAGAGGAGAAGAAATTTCATAGTGAGAACATAGTCTATATAAAAAAGACATTATAGCGTAGTAGATACCATAAAATCTACTTCATAAGAATAACTACATGGAACTAAATATTTTAGCTAAACACATCTTAGATAAATAATGTGGTCACAGTTGAGAAAAATATGGAGAGTTTGAGAAAAATCTTGAGACAAGCAAATTTACCTGAATTCATCTGCATGCAAGTCAGCCATTTGACTGACATATGATAGGGCAATTGTTTAATAACTTATGAACAGGACAGGAGAATGTTAAACTGCATCAAGAAAACAAGTAACGACAATCATTTAACACCTTGTTCATCAACTATATATCTCACAAATTAGCTCACAATTTTTTGAATGAAGATATAGAGAACTTTGTAGGCAATTAAGGAGAGTATGATTCAGTTGGATTCAGAATACTGTATTTAACAAGATATAGAGAACTTTGCTTGGGCTTTATAGTTATGCTTCTACTGATGTATATATAACTAAAGCAGAGTTCTGTTTTGAACTCATGACTATTCACTAAAACACAGAAAGCATTGAGTTAACAGCAAAGATAAACCAGTAGTAATTAGAAAAAAGGACATACACAAGAAGTGATCCTGATGTATGAAGTCAGGAATCAGGAGGCACATCACCAGAATCAGATAAAAAGATCCACTTCGACAACAAGTAAAACTTCTTTAGGGGCAGCAAAATTTTCCAACATGGATATAGATTTAGCATGGTCTACTATTTGAAACTATTCAATAGGAAAATTCAGACTTCGGATAACATTCCTATAAAAGCATAGGACTTGAGATTGTCATAATAAAAAAGACTGCAACTCAGAATAGCAATGTAAGCTAAAGAATTCATCATTTTATCTGCAAGTAAGATAAAAAAGGAGGTCGAATTCCCAGTACATCAAACATGAGTATAAACTGTTTCTGTCACAAACATGAACAGAAATTCCATGAACAAAACCCTCAAATTGAGAAGAAAAAAAAACTGATGTGAACATCATATGAACATCAGGATTTGACGGACAAACTTTAGACACAGGATTTGACGGACCCAGATAATTAGTTTAATTCATAATGACTTCTGGTAAGTCTCCCTGAGAGGCAGTAAGCTCGTATACTGATTACAATACCTATGAATGATACACTCCCTACATCCAATAAGAACATCACCAGACTGCCATTGTCCTGTTGGTCATTTCTACCATGTTGTGATCAAATAATATTTGCACAGCAACATGCAACTCCCATCTTTGTGAGTCACTCCCATCTCTGTGATCTGAAACTGATAGTATCTACAAGGCTTCCATATTCTTAATATTACATGGAGTTGGAATTCAGCTCCATGGGTCAATTGGAATCTTGTCAGTCACTAGTAATCACACAATTCTACCACTCTCTCTCTCTCTCTCTCTCTCTCTCTCTCTCTCTCTCTCTCTCTCTCTCTCTCTCTCTCTCTCTCGGTCAAATCCTGAAAATGTTCTAATTATCTCAATTTCATGAAGAATTGTAGATCAATATTTCATTCATTGCACCAAACTCTTTCCTTTCTTTGACATAGTTAAATCCATCTTCAATCAATATCCCTGTTATAAACCTAGTTGTTATCTAGGAACTACTTTTCCTCTCAGAAAGTTTATCTATTTTACAAGCCATTTATAGTGAGGAGCAGATCCCATTACGGATAAGTGACAAGAAATCTGAAGTGTACATTCCTTGAAGGTCTTTTCTGTTGCACTGCAAGTTGAGAAGACGACTATCCTGATACCCCAATGGAAATTGTGTTCATAAGACAAGCACTCAAGAAAAGTCACCACTGAAAAAAAAAGAAAAAGAAAAAAAAAGAAAAGTCACCACTAAATCCTGAATCAACTTTAACATGCTCAATAGGCCCTATGCAACATCTATTCCATCTACTTGCTTCATTATTCAAACTACTTATGCCTTATTTTGCTCTCACAGACCACTAGGGTTCATCTACACAGCAAATTCAGAAAATTTAACAATGATAAAAGGAATAGTCAAAATGTTGTTCTTTTAATAAAGCTTAGACATATTTCTGATGTATAGCATTCAGCAATCACTTTTTCTTAAAACCTGATTTCCTCAAAGTTCGTGTGGTTTTCATAATCTTCCTAAATCTAAGTCCTCAACCCAACAGCAAACCGATCTCTAAATCTTTAAATCTTTTACATCCTCTATGCTCTAAGTTCCATTCCAAAGTCTAAAATTTCAGTTGGCCATCATTGAGGCTTTAAAAGAATGTGTTTGAAGAATGAGATAATAACAACAAAAACTGTGATGATTGATGATGAAAAACAAACTATACCATTAAAAGCTCATTCATTCTTTTTCATATGAGGAGATAACTGTCATTGCAGCTATCATAATCATACCAAGTGTTAAGTAGGAAAAACTGATACTAGATATGAATGGAGGGACTGGTTAACAAAATCAACCTTTAAAAAAGAAAAGGCATTGAAAGAATCAATATTAGGACTCAATGAGTTGCTAGAAAAAAACAAACTGAAATCAAATGTTCCAAGGTTAATTCAAGTCATCACCAAACCACATCATTGGTTGGACAAGATAATCTTCCTTGAAAAGATGAAGAGATTTTCCCAGAATACAGGTTCTCATCAAACCTCATTGCCAGTCCTCTAAACAAGAAATCTGATACAAACAACTCTTTTTCCAATACATTTTTGGTGAACAAACCACCCTGAGAAAAATAAAAAGAGAAATGGAATAATGCCAATTGATTTAATGATCATTTTTCAACTTGCATAAAATATGAATCAAGTCTATTGAATTAAGGAAAATTGAACTAACGAAAATTGAATTGAGTCTATTGTTCCAGTAAACCAGCACAACAAAGCAACATAAATGTATATTAAATTAAAGACAATGTGATACTACTATAAAACATTAAAAGCATTTCAATTTTGCCCATCCAACATTGAAAAATTTGAAGGTCCAACTGCATCGACAAAACCACGAATTGATAATTCTGCTACAGATGCATTTGGTTCCCGCAAAAACTCATGGTCTATGTAGATTACAATGACTGTAATGTCATCGTGGAAGAACCGACGTATTCCCTTCTCAACTTTCTTGAGATCTGCATACCTCATTTCCCTCTTCCGAGCAGCTTCCTGCAAAGCTGTTCTGACCAGTCTCCTTGCTATTCCCTACCAAAGGGGGGGAAGAATTGTTAAGTAGCAGGACAAAGGGGCTTGACAATAAAAAGACCATAGACCAAAAGAAAAAAGTGGTAGAGGAAGCATACTTCTCTTGGATGATTATAGACAATCTCAACTGCTTGTTGATTACTCAGGTGCTCCCACAGTCCATCAGAAGCAAATACTAAGAACTTATCTTGAGGACGAAGTACTCGCATGTGTATTGATGGCTCTGCAGTTAAAACAGGCCGGCGTAGAGGTTCAGTGAGCCGGAATCGAGTGACAGATGGATCTATAGCAAATTCTGGCTTCTTCAAGTATGCATCGCCTATTGTTCTTGAAACCTAAGAACAAGATGTGCCGATTGTATAAAAAGAAAGATACATAAGTTCTGACATTTATAGAAAGATAAGGATCACTCTGAATAAATAGATTTAGAGTAATTGAAAATTTACAAGATACAACTACCATGCTGCTACATGTGTGGCATGGAAAGTGTCTATTTCCTTCTTCAGTGTAACCCAAAGCATTACTTACTTCAAACTAACAAAACAAGAAATAGTGTAACTTGGCAATGAAATTCATCTACACCCAAAAGAAACCAATCAAATAAATCTTGCTACATTTAGCAAAAGTTGAAACAACCTTGCATAGCTGAGAGAATGTTAAGAAGACTAATTTCATTCCATCTATCAGTCGGTCTTATGAGAGAAAACTTCCATATATCTAGTTTGATCATGGTTCTCAATGCAACTCCAACTACACAGGAAACATTCAAATCTAAACTTTAATTATCAGGAAATAAAGCAATTGAGCCTCCTCAGATGAAGCACATAAACAATTGTAGCACCTAAACTACATTAAAAGTTCAAACTAAAAAGACATACAATCAACAGAGCTGCTAGCAACCAGAGATACTCACCTGGATTATGCCTTTAATCCGCCATACTCCATGCTTAAGAACCACAATGTTTGAATCATCTGGATGAAGAGATCTAAGTTCTTGCCTCACCTCTTCCATACAAGCATTATGGTCTCTTGTCAGTTGCTCTGCGATGATGTTATTTGACCTTCCTAAATAACCAATGACAGCCCTTGAGTCTCCCAGATTGGCCAGATAGAGTGTTCCTCTCCAGATTACACCCACCAAACAGCATGACCCAATTGCAGAAATCAAAGGTTTTATTTGATGTGTTCTCCGCACATGAGCCAGAAACCCTTCCTCGGTTGCAGAAAATGCACTCCTGACAACATCCTCACTGATTGTTCCACTTTCTTGAGCCAACCCTGTAAAATGTTGATCAACATATTACACATTGAGGTTGGAGCAGATCCCCTGCTTGCAGAGTTAGTATATATATATGGCAAAACCAAACCACTGTGATGATATGGAACAAGATGCAACAGAGAAAATAAGAGAAAAGTAAAAAAGAACTAATAACATCCGCTTGCCTCTCAAGCCAACTTCAGTACAATAAAGAATTTGCTCCCAACCTGATGTCAATCCTCTATATAGATTCTCCACCTAAAAGAAAGGCCTGCCACTGAAACCTAAAAGGTAAATTGGTAAGTAGGGAGACCTGCTTTTATTTGTGCCAAAGTTCAAGCTCAGGCGACAGAGAGCAATCATCTGAAGTTTTCTTGAAATGGAAAGGGCCAACATGGAGAAGTCACTGATCCATTTGCAGATTGCTTTGACCATTAAGACATGAGTTTGAAACAAAAGAGGCCATGAAGCAAAATTGGAAGACCATTAACTTGACATATTAAAACAAAACAATGCATTTGACTAAAAAGCAAGGAAGGTCCATTAATTCAAGAATGTAACCATGTAAGAAACTAACACTTAAAAAAATCTATTTAGCTTCAATTATATGGAGATTACTTCGAACCGAATTAAGAACCCAGATGGAAACAAAATCAGCAGACTAGACAAGTGTATCAAGGAGGTTGTGACCAGCAAGCAATAAAAGAATTTGATGCCATCTGCATCCAAGAAAAATAAGATATAATAGTTGCAAAAATAATGAATCTAGATGCATGGCCAATACCAGAAAAAAAAAACAATTGATGACTGAGGATAAAGACCCAGAATTGACCCACAATGTCAAAGCTGAACTTTGATGAAAGTTAATAATCTAAACAGGGCAGTATCACCATAGTTGTACAGGTAATTAATACGAAGTTAAAAGTGAAAACAGTTACAAAAAACAAAGCTCGCTCAGTGTTAACTAAAAACAATAATGCTGATAAAAGAACACAATCAAATTAAGATATTATCAAATAAGAGCAAGTAAAATTACCAAATACAAGGATGCTGGCAGCTGCTTTTCTTTTCCAAAAGACAACTAGATCCCACATAATCATTCCACCTTAGGTTCGAATTTACTTAATTCTACTCTTGATACCCTAGACGGCAACAACAACAATAAACCTATAAAACCCCTAAAAAAAAGTTTGGACCATTTCTCAATTTATGTGTCACCCTGGACAGGGGTCATTCTTACTACCGTGGAGAGCACAAAGAAAAATTTGCTCGTGCTACCATGCGATATGCCAGAGTCAACTTATTGAACCATATAGTTCCCATCATAACATGAACACCAAATATCCAATAGTTCAGTTCGAACAACAAACCTCTTTTGAGCAAATTGATTTCATGAGAGGTAAACTGAGACGTTAGTGTCTAATAAGCCTGACTTACGGCCATCTTGAGAATCACTTGCTTTACCTCTAGTTGTTTTACGGAACCTACAGGTGGTAGATTCTCGGAACAATATACAATGAAGAAGATCCTAACTTCGAAAAATAAATAAAATTATAATATTTTCTGATTGCAAACAGCAAGGTTTGCCCCCTCAAGAACAACTAGTTAGACTTTCTTATAATTCCATGGAAACTCGGTGCATGGTATTGGAAACAGAAAAAAATAGCTTTCCAACTTACTGAGATGTCCTTTCCAAGAAAAAGAGCTCCCAAGTTACTGGGATATCAATGGACTTATGGTTTAACCAGAGTTACAGTTGCTCTAAAGGAAACTTCTAACAAATTCCATGTAGACCTTTCCTTCAACAAAAGAAAGGTCTACACGGAATTGATACTTTTCATCTACAATTCTGTGCTTTCATAACCTATAATAACATCATTGAGACTACAACCAGAAAGATACATGCCCCCATTGAGACGCAGAACATTCCAAGAAGACACCATGATAGAAAATCTTGGCATAAAACGGCACACCCATGAACAAGGAATCATTAGAAAAAGGAAAAATAATTACATCCCTATATTATCTCAAACGAGAGACTTACTCATGAGATGAAGGAAGAGGTGATTGGAGATAAAGCGAGATGCGTCGGCTCCTCCATGGCCATCGTAGACACCGACGAAGGTGGCATCTCGCCCGGTCTCCACCTGGCTGTGGTCCTCGAGGACCTCGTTCGCCTGGACGACCGCGAAGGAGAAATCCCCGGCCGCGTGCTGCCCGATGTCCCGCGACCACAGCAGCGCATCGTCGTCCTCCTCCTCCTCATCCTTGCTCATACGCGCGTACCGCCGGACCGGGGCCCAACACGCCGCCACAAACCTCCCCATCCACGAGAACATCCCTCATTTCCTCCTCGGAGGATCCCTTAGGTGCTACTCCCCCGCCCGAGATCGCCTCTGCAGTTCCTGCGAGTCCGAGGCCTCCCCCACCAAGAGCCACTCCTGATCCCAAATCCAACACGCAATCGGCCCTCAACCTCGCAAGCGGGCGCAGATGTCCAAGAAATTATTAAGGCTCTTGGAAGAATTCGGGAGATCAAGAATTAGGGTTCCGAGACGGATAAGCAAGGTTTTGGGCGGAGGGAGGGAGGAAGAGTCCGGGAGAAGCGGCGAGGGCATTAGGGCAGTGTTATAGACGGAGGCTTGGGGAAACGACACTGCAGTTGGGATTTATTTACGAGGATGCTACGAAAAAGAGAAGCGATGGATAACGGCGGTTGGGTTGATAACGGGTCAACTTCAGAGCCGTGAGAGGAGAGGGTTGACTTACTCGTAAAGTTCTCGCTGGGGGGAGTCATCACGAAGGAAGGGGGCACCACCACGTACGTACCCACGAGAATACCTAAACGTCCATCGGAAGAACCGCGGGGTCCGCAGATAAGCCGCGAGCGGGGTATCAAAAGGAAATGGGTTGGGATCGGAACGTAGGGCGGAGGATGCCGGGCGTTTGGGCCCTTGAATGCGCTGGTCCCGGCACCGAGAGCGACGACGAGACGGACAAGGTGACGTCATAGTCGGAGGGAGGGGAGGGGGTACGTTGGGAGGGGGGGAGGGGTGAAAACAATTGCTTTTTTGGGGCACCCACAGGTTTGGTAACACCTGATAATTAAAATAACATTAAAAAAAGAATGGTGGGGCCACATGCACGAAAAATGTTTTTTGATTTTTAATTGCTTCAAAATTTAATAATCATTTGGCGGTACGTACACCAATTAGGACGTATGACTTAAAAAAAGGTGATCAGTTCAACTATTAGTTCCAATGAGAACGTAGAGAGTTTATAAGTTATCATGTTCCATGTACAAGATTAATAAATGGAGCAAAATAACAATAAGAAAGTAATATCACCTCACGGAAGAAGAATTCACAAGATCACAGCACACATTGATTTGCATGTATAGGTTTATTAAACTAACAAAGAGAGCACAGCACACATTGATTCATAAAGCAAGCAATACTAAATATGACAGGCGTAAAGGCTGTTAATATAAACTAAACGTCGGGTGGCAGCTGAGACATAAGCGAGGAGAAACAAAAGACATTAAGGAACTCAACGTGTAAGCTTATAAATTGTTTCATCAACCTAAAACAGTCATCTTCATCATTACCATCATCATCGTGGAGGTCGATGGTCACTATCAATGGGTTCCCTTTTCCCCTGCTCTCTCCAACATACTGTGAATGGTGGGTGAGCAAAATAGAAGAATCCGTGATGCGAGACAAGACATTTATCCACCAAAGGCTTCCAGAAAATGTGGATTACAACCCCTTCTCTCTCTCTCTCTCACATCTCATCTTTCGCATGGCATCTGGGCACCGATAAATGATCCATCAGCAACTCTAGAAGAACCTATCATCATCTCCAAAGGCTCATATGACTCTTTCTTCCCCTCGCTTTATGGTCCATCATCTTCAAATAGGATCATCTGGAATTCAACAACGAGCATGGAACTATAGCATTCAACAAGTAATAATGATGCGCAAAACTATAATCTGGCAGATGGAAAGATTGATGAAGACGTGCAGAGAAGAGTGAGTTTTGTGAGCAAAAAGCAAGCAGTATAAGAAACATATCTAAAGCAGGTAAAAAGTTCAACCACTTATAAATCTAGCACTTTAACCAAGGAAGTCTTTTTCATCAACATACTACAACAACAACAATAAAATCATAAATCAATCACAACTTTAATGAGGTCAGCCATATGAATCTTTTATCACCATTAAAATTTATAAAAAAATATATTTAATTAAATTCAAATACTTAAAATTTTTATTTATAATCTATTAAAATCTTTTTAGATCTTTCTTTATCTTTCCTCTTATCACTAATATTAATCATTTCACATTTTCTAATTATTATATCCGGAGGTCTCCTAAACACATGCTCATACCACTTTAGATGATTTTCTCTCATCTTATTTTCTATTGAAATGATATTTAATTGTTCATAAATAAATTTTTTTTTATTTTTTCTTGTAATTATATATATTCATCTCAATATTTTCATCTCAACAACACAAATTTTTTGTATATATTTTTTCATGAACATAAAGAATCCTCAAAGAACATTACAACTCCTGTTATTGAGAGGAAAAAAGGTAAGAGAAAAGAATTACAAAGATTAACACTGTTAGGTAGTAACCAAGAATGATTACCTGATCAAGTGGCAGATTCAGTGGAGACCGAGACACTAGTACATGATAGGACTTCACTAAGAAAACTACATATGCTTCATATATGCAGACAAAGATTGTCAGTAGACTGAACAGTCCACTAAGACAAATTGTCAATATGGAGCTTAGTGTATCAAAACAAAAAGAAGACTATGAAGCAGAATCCAAAAATCAGCTAATGCAGAGCCAAACCAGTTGTGCAAACCACTAACCAATCTTGTATAACAATTTCAGTAAAAAGATATAAATTCCCTGCCACAGAGAACAGAAGAAGATGGATGCAAATTAAGCATGTAACATGATGGTTGTCATATGTACCACCTACTCCAGCCCCTGACCAGTGTGTACTTGATTAGGTAATGCATACATTGGCAAGAAAAAAAGGAAAAAAGATATGTAGTCTTTCCAACATTTACTAGGATTAAGAAGATAGTTACTCTCACCATACAATTGAGGAAGCTGATTTACTCCTTATTCTTTGAGGAGCGATCCTTCTTGTGCCCACCAAGAATACGAGAAATCTGCAGACCCCTACTGAAGGCCTGATTAAAGAGCATACGTGTTTGAAACTCGGAAACAAATGGAAACCAGGCCAAGAAAGCAATTGGGGTGAAGAGGAGCAGTCCCATCATGATCTCATAGCCTCGAGCTAATGCACGCACTGAGCTCCACAAACCAATCCTTTTGACAAGAGGTTTACAAGCTTGGGCAATCTGGAAAAAGTAACAGTTAAATGATCATATTCACATGACCAAGATAAAAGCAGCAACAACAAATGATGTTTAGTGAGAAGCAGTTAAACAAACCAAAAGCATTCCCCATCCAGTCGGCAGGAAAGCTAGGAAGCACACCACGATGTCTTGGATTGTCATGTGAGGCAGGGCAATTAAAGTGATCAAAATGGAAACGAATGCCAAAAAAATTAGAAACTTGATCAACCGAAAAACAAGCTGAAAGCTTGCGCTGAATCTGCGCCTTCCCACTGATACAGTCTGAAAAGAAAATAAGAAAACAGATAAGAAATGTATATCTACAAATGCACAATGACCAGCTTACGCTGAATCTGCACCTTCCCACTGATACAGTCTGAAGAGAAAATCAGAAAACGGATAAGAAATGTATATATCTACAATGCACAATGACCATGAAGGTAAAACATGTTTTCCGCATGTCAGGTTATTTCAGGGCGGGCACTTCAGATTGCCTAAAATGATCAATTTGATTTTGCAGTCATGGTAAAGTTATAAATTACAAGGCCTTACGACTTAAAATGGTTCGTACAAAGATAATGATGAAAATTGACATGCACAATGGTCATGATGCATGTAAAGCGTGTTTACCTCATGCCAGGTTATTTTAAGTACGCTTCATATTACCACAGTGATCGTTTTGTTTACACAGTCATGGTCCGGTTGTGCTAAATTACGACTTATGAACCAACATAATTCATACAAGGATGACAAACTAAACATTGAAATAATTTATGTCATACTAAGATCATATTACATTACTGACCTTCATGACAAGCAGGACAACAAATATAACTAGCCATGAAAGGCCATATACCTGCAGAAAAGATGACATTACTGTCCATTTCAACTTTCTTGACAGTGCAATCAATTAATATAATACAACAGAAACATTAGAATATTGATCAAAACACCAGAAAGAAAGAAAACATACCAGAATACTTTTAGTCTTCTTGGTAATATTCAAGTGATAGACAAGCCCATATTGGTAGATAAAGAAGCGCAACGCAAGCACTATCTCAGTGATGATCCCACGTGTTCCAGAATATTTAAGATGCTCTTGCTCCTTGTCCCACCATGATTCCCAGCTTTTCTCTGGTGAAACACCGATGCCTCCGCGATTACTAATCCACTTGCTCCAATCAGTCCAGTCATCAACAATCTTTTGCCACTCAAAGCCCGATGGATTGAATAAGAAAGGAGCAAAAAGCCATGTACCCACCATGAACCACATTGAAATTGTAATAAAAATATAAGCAACTACAGATCTATATGACTGGCCAAAGATTTGGTAAACAACAAGCAAAATCAGCAATTCAATCCCCTTCACAAAATGACTTCGAGAATATAGCCTATAGTTGTCTGCAAACTTTGCATGGAAGACCACAAAACCACGGCCTGTACCTCTATATTCTGCACCTCCATGCAGCAATGTCCTTCCATAATAGTGAGTCTTAGTTCCAAGAGAAAATGTAAAGAACACTGAAGCCAGTTGCAACTGCATCAGAATGAATTCACTTAATGCAGTGCGGAATCCCTGTTCCAGGCCAATTTCCATCATCATTGGTAGAGCCATTAGAAATCCAAGCTGCACCAGCGATTGTGATGCAAGAGCAACCTGAAGTGGTTGGTTATGGATAAACCTTCTGCCAGTTGCTAGCCCTTCCTCGAGACCACTAAGGACTAGATAAAGACGACCATATAGGAAGACATAAACTGTAAGGACGGTTACCTACCAGGCATAATAAAATTCAGTTGAATTTACTACATGAAAATATTTATTCTTAAAGACATTAGATTAAATGATACTCATACCAAGGTACTAAAATAGAAGCCCACAGTTGTGAAATAGCATGAAAGCATCCTAAAGAAGTCAAATCGGTGCCCAAGCCTATATATATCACGACTCAGTGTTTGCTCCCCATTTCCATTTGCTATCTTTGCCTCAAAAAGTGAAATCTGGTTAAGACCGACATCTCTTCCTTTGCCAACTTGCATGTATTCATGATGAGTTACAATGCCCTCACGAAGAGTGGAATTAAATCCTGCGATTACAGTAAGCCAAGAAACAATGAGCATGCACTGACAATGGAAAATTAACCAAAAGCAGAACATTGCATGGACAAAAAAACATGCCTGCAAATATGTCTTCACTTAAATTAATGATCTTTGATGCTTTACTCACACCACCC